AAGGCGCTTTGTTTCTTCTCACACAGCTTAAAGGTCGCGATCTGAGCGTGGCTTTGTTCGCTCCAGCGCTGTCCTCCAGACAGTCTCGTCCCTTCACCTGATGAAGGCCGCTTGTGTTGTGGCCGAAACGTCGTGAAAATTTTATTGTTATTTTATTTGATCAATTTATTCTCATTCTACGTGACTTTACCGAAAGAACCAAAGAAGAAAAAACATACTATGATAATATATGCATTGTCCTTGAAACTGATTTGTCCACACCAAGGGATGGCTTTCTTTTGAGCCTCGACTCAATTGGTGCTTTGGCGTCATCTGGTCGAACACCAATTGGGTTTCAGTTTTGTTGCCAGAAAAAAGGGGAAAAACCCTATTATTAAGCTTTTGTAGACTGAAACACAAACAGAATTGTGATGCTAAAAACAATTATCTGAAAGGAACATTGCAGATCCATGAATTACAGCAATAGCTTAGCGTCCTTTATTTCCCTATTAAAAGTGATATATTGACTGTAGATGCTGTAATCTTTGTTACAACAATTAAGCCATAATGTCATGCACATGTTGCATGAATGTAATAACAAATTGATTTCGGTAACCTGATGTGGTTGCCGTGCGATTAAGCATCCCGTGGCTACATGGAAACGCTGTGATAAATTACGCGTGGCACAGCTGACGTGCCCCAACAAAGTTCACCGAATCTACAGTCCTGCTTAGTTGTGCCACCGCAAGTGGCTACCTTGGCAGACAAAACGATTACTCGTTTTTTAAACTTAAATGATCGATGCCGCAACAGGCATTACACAACAAGGGGGTTCGTGGTAACCATTGCCACGGTGATAAACTGGCAAAGACTGTTTTCTTACAAAATGTGTGCGAGTCGGACGTGTTGATTGTGTTCAATAGTGCGCCGGCTTAGCTCGCTTAACACAAAGGTACAGTCGTGTTGTATCCAGGAAGTATGTGGTCTGTTTACGGTCTGTGTAGCTACGCGTTGCGTCACAGCACCACCATTACTCCCATAAAGTGTGATATGTATATATCAATGAGTGCACTATGACCATCTTTGCATATTACCACCCAGTGACTAACCCCTTTTATAAGCGACCTATGATTATTTGTATACCAGATAAGAAGAACTGCATGGCAACGTATGCATTTTAAAACTGACCACGAATGTATTTATAATTTGGTAATACTGCACAAATAAATAACAAAAACACATTCATCAATAAAACTGCCTTGAAAGGGAATAGATACAATAGGCAACGTTTCGGGAAATGGTCCTTCTCCATGTGATGAAGAGCAAATTATGTCCATAATCATTCACCAACCATAATCACCAGGCAGATTTATCACCATTACCATCTATCATTACTGCATATTATCACAATATAATCAGTACGATAATTGTTCAGAGTATACACCCAGACGCCATCATTGGGACATTGTTACCTCCTCATACTCTAACTGTTGTATATATGTTGAACTATTTTCGCAACGTAGGTAATCAGACGCGCTCATCGCAGGTGCGGGGGCAGGACAACAATGGTTGTCTGAGGCATCCATGTGAAGGCCTCAACAATGCCAACTTCCATATTCTTTACATTGGCCCGACTAAGCGTCATCTGTGCAGTGAACCATCATCTTCCATATTTTCTTTTCTGGCTCGCTGGCCAAGGTACCACGATGGCATCATCCTCCTCGGCTGGTTATAAGAGAAATGGTCCTACTGGCTGAAGCCCAACTATGAATGGAGAGGCGGTACTAAGATTTACACACACACACAATTACATTGCATTATCCAATACACTCAAGAACAACGTGTCACTTAAGCAAGAGGCTGTGAATACTTCTCTGTTTAAGAGACGGTTAGCCATAATGCTCTAAAAAAATGCAACCCTTCTCAAAACACGTGAAAAATACCTGAACATCTGATACCTGAACATCTAAACAGTAAACCTGAATATAAATACGTAAATATTTCTACATAACCACAAAAACTATGACCGGAACACTGCTCTATTGATAATTAAGGTGTGCACGATAGGATGCTGTTATATGCAGTCCATCCACATGCATCACTATACTACACGGTAAAGCGCTATGCTAATCATACGTATGAAATTTGATATGTACAGTATTCGTCAATACTTGGAAATGCAAGACACTATCCTCGACCTTTGTAATACAGTACAATTGATGTCCATCGGTGCGTCAGCATCGGTGTACACGTGCCCTTGAAACACTGGCCATCGACTTCCTATGTTGGGGCTTTCGTTCATTGTTTCAATGTCATTTTACATTAAGTTAACAAATCAACAACATATTTTTCAAGCTAATCAGAAAACATGTTCAGACCCCCAATTAGCCACAACGACGAATGCTTCTTGTACTCTTGTTCAAGAAACCGCAATTTCTATATTTAATTATGTGGAAAAACGTTGGACCACTTAAAGAGAGCCATCAAGTCTCCCATAAAAAACTGGCATGACTAGTTTTTTTTATTGGTTTCGTAACATTTAAAACTGTAAAGAGTCCCCTCCCATGTATTAACAACATGTCTCTTACAAAAAACATAGTTTCGTGGGGACAGGCAAATAGCAGTATGTACAACACTTAGCAACTTCATAAGAGTATTATTAAACTATTTTGTGGGTCCAATCACAAGTGATTTGTTAAGGTCATATGCGGCACAAAGCAAGTGTATGTTTCATAGCCTGCTCTTTGACAATATCACATTACCCATGCACATTGAAACTTCCTTTTGAAATGCTCTATTTACATGTCAATTAAGCAGCCGAAACAGGACACTGACCATTAGATACCCGCGTGTGCTGGGAAAGCCACCAGGACATGCTCGAATAACCAATAGATAAAACACTTGTGAATTATTAATTTAAAATACAGTAATGTGCCAAAAAGTACCACAGCGATATTGTTTCATCTACTGACTAACAAATGTCATCTCAATGGCTCACAAAAATAATTCCCGCTTTGCACACTCAACATTTTACGCAATTCAGGATGTGATTAAAGTATACTGTACTGTATGTTGTTCTTGCCATTCAAGTGACCACACTAAGGGTGCAACATAACTTATCAATAACCACGAAAAAATACAAAAGTTTGAAGGCGTGTCACTGTCACAAACACATTCAGTTTCAAAGGCAGGCGCTAAATAAATTATATCCTAGGAAGAACTTGTACACAAAGGCTGAGCTGTCAATTTATTACAGAGCAATGCATTCACACCTGTTGGCAATTAAACACTGATAGGAAGCCAACAGATAACGCAAACAACACAATATCTACGCACTCGGCACAAACAAGCATTGTTGATTAGATATTATTGGCGTAATCTCAATATAATTCCTATCAAGCTGAGGGAAATTGACCAAAAGTGACTAAAGCAGCAGTATCGTCAACTAGCCCGACATATCAACCACATTGTTTTACTAAACTGCTTTAGAGAACCTACGTGCCTTGAAGCTGCTTACTTGTGAAAGCATTTTTGTCAAAACATTTATTTAAAACGTGGTGTTTAACAACAATGCATTAATTTGTTAGACAAGTATACATGTGAGCATTAGCGACGAAAGGTTATAGCTTGGGTTCGTACGTCCACTGATATTGTGACTCAAAGTGGTCAAGGCTTCCACGCGTGCTCGATCGACTTGCGGGCAGTGCCCATTTCCATTTAGGGTCTGAGTTACTGCTGAAAACTCCACCTTTTCGAAAATGAGGGTTTCCCTACGAGACAAAGACGACTCTGGACTTGCAAACAGTAGTGGCGGCCGCATCAGATGACCATACTAGTCACGTAACTAAATAGTTTCATTTTTTTTTCATTTTTTCAAATAGGGTGGGACGTGTGTGATGATTCGATGATGGGCCTAGTTAACCATTGTCATGATTTGAATTCAATCTCAGAACTGGAAAGCCCTAACAGTGGCATCTACAGCTACGTTAACATGGCTAGGCCATTGTGAACCAGTCATGACTTAAGTTTAGCCAAAGACAAAAAATACATTTTAGGTCAAAGACAGAATATTAATTAATTAAATTGTTCTGAACGATGTCTAAATAAAATACTGTATGTATTAAATTGTAATACACCACCGTAGCCCAGAGCATAGTTGCATAATAATAAAATAGATAATTGTGTATACAAAATTACTAGACTCTATTAGCGGCAGCGTGCAAACAGCTGGAACCCCAACATCCATCATAAATTGTAACAAAAGATAATGTTTATGGCAATGACCTATCTTCCGAGTAGAGGACAAAGATTGATTAATTTGACATTCAACTTTAAGTCAGTCAACATCTGTTCTGCTACGACTGTATAAGACAAACCGCCTGCTCCACTATTTAATCAATCTCTTTGCTCAAATGATAAACATGTTCCAACTACAATAAATTAAATATTTGTATTATCACAATTCGTAAATTCTGCCCCAACTACCGAATATGTAAATCCGATATTTGCGCTGCAACTATGATTTATCTGATCAAGCTATATGAGCTCGGTAATTTCTCAGGCCCAACTTTTCAGCCACTGTTTCTTCTCCAATTGTAACATCAGTCAACAACATCTGTTTCAGCAATACGTCAGTAAGTCCCTCTACGCTGTGTATGTCATCCGATATTTCTGGTTCAACATCTCCAAAGTTAAGTTTAACCAACATCACTTGCTCCTACAAGTCCGTCAATGTCTCTTCTCCAACTACAGTATACTGCAGACAAACCAAATCTTCCGCTTCAACAACACAGGTCAATGAATCTCTGATCTATGTCATCTGAACTATCCGGTCCAAATAAACGTCCGTCAACCTCTCTCACCTCCAGCTGTGAGTCAATATATCTTCCCCGTCCTTACCCTGAATAAGGGCCACTTTGCCGTAACGTTAGCCCGTTACATCTTCTGTTACAAATTATGTCAATGGTTAAGGTAACGTGGGTTTTTTTTTTTCCCAGTGTATAAATGTGTTAGGAACTCACGCAGTTTCCATGATATCTTGGTTGGCTTGGCCGCGCTCATTGCGAATCCCTCCGCGGGCCCTGCCGGGATTCCCGGCCTTGCCTGGAAACTCCGAGGGGAGCCTTCGCTAGGCCGCAGGCGGGAGCCCCAGTTCAACGCCTCCGCCGGTGCGGGGAGCGGAAATCCAATCAAACGAACAATGAAAAAAAAACCAACAAAGGCTGTCTGGAGGTAAATAATGACGAGCGCAACGAATGTTACTTAATTGAAGGCTACAGTACCGAATAATTAGTTACTAGAGCGCACAGCGACGGGCTGTAACGCGGGTGGATGGCGGCGCACGTTGGTGTATGGGCGGGAACTTCCTGCAGTGGCTACAAGGCGACGTCTGATTGGACCGCGCTCCCTCGCAAACCACTCGTGAGGAAAAAATGTTTCTCTCCCCCCCCCCCCCCCCGCTTAAAGTAACAAAAAAACCCAACACGTACAAACACCATGTACAATATAGTAATCGCGTAAAAAGGGGGGGAAGAATAAAAAAAATGTATCGTTTGCCCGCGGACCACTCGGCCCAAAGTCGAACCGGGGGAAGGCCCGAGTCGAGTCCCGCGTCAGTCTCGCCGAGTTTACGTTGCCGCGGTAACGGCCGCAGCCAATCGGCGCCGAGCTTTGCGTTACCGCGGCAACGTCTTGGCCAATCATCTGCGAGTTGGTTGCGGGGCCCATCCCGTTGCGCGTTCTGCTCTGAGGGCACTTTGCGCCTGGCCTTGAAGCGGTGCGGCTATGACAGGAGTGGGGGGGGGGCACAGCTGGCGGTGTGGCTATGGGGGGGGGGGGCACAGCTGGCGGTGCGGCTATGGGGGGGGGGTGGGGGGGCACAGCTGGCGGTGCGGCTATGGGGGGGAGGGCACAGGTGGCGGTGAAGTCTGCAGGAGTCTGCAGTTCTTCTCGGTCAGACGACCTCCCATGGCAACTGCTGGGTCTCTCCCGAGACCTCCCTCCTCGTCAGTGAGCGAGCCTTCGACACTCCACGCGATAGCCCCAAAGTGCACCTGGCCTCGCACAGGTAGCCGTGGTGGTGATTGTCACTGTGGCGAGTGGCTGTGGTATTTGGGGAGCGGTGGTGTGGCGGTTAGCGCTGCTGCGCTACGAACCCACCAATGACGATTATCTGAACCAAAGGCGGTCGGGCGTGGTGGTGGCCACCCACCCCCTCGTGTGCAACAGTGCCGGCCTTCATAGGTGCTCGCTAACAACACTTGCCCCAACAGTCTATTACGGGCTATACGGCGGGGGGGGGTCTTTGTTGACACAGTAGGAGGGCACAGGTGGTGCATCGGCCAGTCATCTCAGTCGACCCATGGCACCGCCTGGGTGTCTGTCCCATGACCTGGCGACGGCGGTTCGACACTTCACGTGGCCTCAACGTGCACACAGCCTGGCACAAGCGACGTCACCGCCACTTCAGTGGCGAATGGCGGCGGTTGTTGGAGTTGCACGTGTCTCTCTCTCTGTGCGTGTGGGGTGCGGTAACTGGTTGCTGGCCATCATCCACCGCCACCTCGTGTGTGTGTGCGCCAACAGTGACCGGCCTTCATAAGGTTGCTGCTCGCGAACATGCAAATTTGCCCCGACAGCCTGTTGTTACGGGCTGCTCCACGGAGGAGGATATTTTTCTAACTGTATTTGTGTAACTTCTGCCCGTGGGGTAGCTTCTCTCTGGCAGGCTTGCTCGCGTCGTCCCGAAGCGCCGGCCGTGGTGGATTAGTTTTGTTATCCGAGTTCCCCCACCACCACCACCTCCGAACGTGGGGGGAGGGTTTATGTCACGCTCGTTCCTTACCTCACGGCTAACGTCGTTATCGCCTTCACGTTATTAATTGACGAGTCTGTGCTCTAAGATTTAAATGTTGGTGCGTTAACGCCGCCCCTAGTCGTCGGTGGTGGGCGCAGTGCGGCGTGACGCATTCCTCGGCAAGGCCTCGATTTAAAAAAAAACATTCACGTTAGGCGAATTTTCCGAGCCACGTTTAAGCGAATGCGTTACGTGCTAAAATGTATTTGACAAAAAAACCCGCGAAATGAATGACTTGAGCATATATTATTAAACTGCGACTGCCGTCCGCGTAAAAAGTTTCGCTTAAGTGGGTTACGTAACATGCCGCTGTGGGCCCTCTGTCCGCGTCGGCTGGTCGCCCGCGTCTCCATGACCCATAACATGGCCTTGACTCTGCTCACGTTTCGTTCATTCACATGCCCTCTCGGCTCCCAGGTGCACTGTAATGTAAACCCGTTGACCTCTAGTCGCGACCGAATGCCCTCCAGATTTGGCCCATTGCCCTCAGTTTCATCCTCACGCTCATTAGGGCCGTTAAATGTAATTTGGGGCCCAAAGCCCTTAATTTCGGCTAGCCCAATGCCCTCTAGTCATAGCTCAATTCGTGGAGGAATGCCCTCATGGCTATCGAGCCCCTTGCCTGCCACCGATTGGGACGTAAAACCTTTAATCTCGGCTAGACGAATGCCCCATAGAGGCCCAATGCGCTCCAAGTGGCCATGCATTTCAGTGGCCTCATTGCCACCACCTCCGCCACCCTGCCGTCTATTTTCCACCATGGCTTGCTGGTCCAGCAGCGTGTTTGTTCCTCGCCGCCTGTGGCTGCCCTCACCGGGTGCTGCCCCTGTCTCTGGGTCTGCCAAGCGTGTTCTGTACGAGCAAGGACAGTCACCCGAGCCGGGGATACGCGAGTACTTCTACTACATTGATCACCTGGGCCAGGTGAAAGAACGAACACCACAATCAATGGACATTACACCCGAATTGGTAGATCATATAAAATATTGCTTCGGTATTCATTCTCTTTGGTTTTATTCGGTAAAGTCACGTAGGTAAAATAAAATAAAAGAATTGAATCACGACGTTTCGGAGGCAACACAAGCTTCCGTCTTCAGGTGGAATAGTCACAGCAGACTATCTGTGTTAAGTGCACAGCTCTGAGACGATCGGGTTTATATATAGGTTAAGGGGGGGGGGAGCCAGAAAGGAACGTGGGTGGGTGGGAGGGCTGAGTTAAGCCGTTTTTGAAAACGAAAGAAGCAGCTAAAGTTTGGCATACCACCACTGAAAATTGCTGTACAATTAAAAGGTAGCTAACGTTTGACTTGATTTATAACATCTTTCCAATGGTTGCTTCATTTGAAACCATCCGCTTCAAATCTAGAATTATTGCTTCGGTAATTCATATCCCGACAATTATTTCTTCCACATCTAATCAAGCGTTCTTCACTCATTTTAAGGGGGGGGGGGGCACTTACGCTGATAGGACATCGTTTGAAAAGATCGGGTTTGACAGCACGTGTTTTCACATGATGTGTATTGTCGGGGGCCGCACGTCAGGGCCGCACTAATGGCCATCATGGGCCGCCAGTGGCCCGCGGGCCTTACAATGAAGAACACTGGTGTAATCAGAAGTAAACAAGTTTAGTGGGCCACACTGCTGGTTAGAGTTGTAATTTCTAAATTGATCTGTGTGCCTGCTTAAATGGTGCTGGTGGGGAAGCAGAAGATCCATAGTCTGTTGGATATAAATGTTTTTATTCATATGTTTATGGTGAAAATGGGCCCTTGAATTGGGTGGTTTTGGTGCTGCCATAACATGGTTTTAACGTCACATAGCCTGGCACCACTTAGTGGCGAATGGTGATTGTTGCCATGACATACCTAGTATGGTTCTTTCGGTAAAGTCACGCAGGTAGAAAAAAATAGATCACGACTTTTCCATCGCAACGCAAGCAATCGTCATCAGGCGGAAGACGATTGCTTGTGTTGTGATCGAAACGTCATGATCTATTATTTTTTCTATCTGCGTGACTTTACCGAAAGAACCAAAGAGTATATTAACACCTGTTTTGTTGCCAGAAAAAAAGGAAAAAAACCTATTATGACATACCTACAAAAATAACCCAGGAATGTCTGTCCTTGACGCTCGTGACGTCACTCCACATAGACCAGCCCCTCATTAATAATCATGAGCAGGTGACATCACTCCACATCGAACAGCCCCCCTCATTAATAATCATTAACAGGTGACGCCCTCCAAATGGACACTACCCCACCATTAATAATAATTAGCAGCCGACGTTACTCCACATGGGGGGCTGAGGAACCTCCTCCCCCCTCCTCGGCGTCAACTTACAACCCTCACTACAAAGGCAGAACCCTCACGTCACGTGATCTCCGTAACGCTATTGAGACATAGAAGTAAAAAGGATGTCATGATGAACAAGGGATTGTGACCTTAAATTGATATAGGTCTGTGTCACCACGCCCTTTCAAATTGCACACGCATTTATGCAATGAATATCAGGTCATGGTCTGCTTTTTGCTTGCAAGTTTCAGATTTACTGCAATACACCCGTCTTTGGACGGGCAAAAGGCTAGTTTAAGATCTTGATTTGAAGCTTTCATGACTGCAGGAATCCATACTCTTTGGTTGATACCTGGATAACCCATGTGACTTGTAAATGTCAATAATTAGTCCCTGACCAGATAATTAAGCTTTAAGCCATGTTGGCCCTGCTGGTTGAACTACTAAAAGGCAATATTTGCATAAAAAAACCCTCGGCGAGCAACTTTACTTTGAATATGGAAAACGGTTGAAAAATCTGCACATACTCTTCGATGTAAATTTATGTGCAGACCGTGTGAACAATGTTAATTATAACACGCTAACAGCTGCACTGTTTCTCAATAATTTTAGAATTAAATATTTTTTTACATGCACTCATGATTGAATATTTTTGTTTAATTCCTTCAGCTCTTCCTCGATGATGCCAAAATCAAGAATTTCACTTCATGCTTTAAAGGTACGGCATAGTAATCCGTCTTTGTAGTGGTCACCATCCCGCGCATGTTCTCCGTTGTTTTGTCACCAGCATACCTTGAGTGTCAAAACCCACTTAACTTAAAGTCAATGTCTCTCATTTGTGTTCTTTGATCAATATGTTGCTGTCGCGGCATACTTTTGCATGCTCTTTGCATACTTTTCAGTTCTATTTTGTCAGTGGACGTGTTTCCGAAATCTTAGCAGGTTATATGCACCAATGGAAAACTTTCCTTTGTTTGCACATTGGAATGTTGCTTTTCACGATCAAATTAAGTTTCCCAAAAGTATGCAAGCTTGCTCTCTCTCCCTCTCGCGTTTTTATTTTATTTTAGACCGAGTTCACCTTCCACACTTGCCCTTGATAGATTTTTATGCAAATCTGTGTAAAAATAATCATAGACCCAAGCAAAAATTGTTCAGATAAGGATGTTGCAGATGTCACACTTAACGAAGCAACATTTTCCCTTCACGGTATGAATTAAGGAACATCAAAGAGGTGGGGCCAGCTGTTAAATCAATTAATGCGCTTGTACATGAAATGTATACACGTAATTGATTTACCTCAATTGTGGAATGCGTTGCATTTTTTTTGAAAAAGGAAACCAATTTATTAAAACAATTAGTCCTATTAGCCTCTTGTAAGACATTGCTCAAGCAGATTGTTGCGTGTCTCTCTCTCTGGTTGTGTCTCTGTGTGTCTCTCTCGGTGTGTGTCTCTCTCTATGTGTCTCTCTGTGTGTCTCTCTGTCTCCTGTTGCGCGCTCTAACCCCCTAGTGCCGGATATACCGTCATTGCACTCGACCCTCGATCATCTCCGCGCCTTTTCTTCACCCTGTTCAGCGCGCTATCCCCCTAGTGGCGGATATACCGTCACTACACATTGACATGCTAATATCTCACAATACAATGGCCACATCCTCAGCTCTTCGTCGTCCTGGAGGTGCATCCCCCCCCATCCCGGTTCCCATCTTTGGATTTCCCACTCGCTTAGGCACAATCTCTAGCCCCCACCCTCTTGCCCGATGCGGCAACCCCTCCTCCCCTCTAAGCTCTATATATAAGGACTTGTTTCAGCAGCCTTTTCTCTCTCCCACCTGAAGACGATTGCTTGTGTGGCGATCGAAACGTCATCTATTATTATTTTTTCTACCTTCGTGACTTTACCGAAAGAACCAAAGAGTAATAATAAGACTTCTTCGAGGTGAACCAACCACTACATTGAAATGAACAATGATACGGTGTTACCCAATTGCCTTATTCCCCCTTGTGTCCTACAGACAAGAAGTTCTTGGTGTTCTTTTTCCGCCGGCTCCAGGCCAATGGCACGCCACGGTACAGGAGCGAGTTTCCCTGGCTGTCGCTGTGCGGCCGCGAACGCAACTACATTCACTGCGACGACCGCCCCGTCGTCTTCACGGAGCTGCTGACGCCGCCGGGCGTGGGTGCCAGCGGCCGGCAGGAGCTGGCGTTTGGCCGTGCTGGGTCGGCGCTCACGGTGCCCTTTGAGCCGGAGCAGCTGTGCATGTCTCGGGCGAGCGGACGCGTCTACCACCCGGCAGCGGAGCGATTCGGCGGAGTGGGGCTCGTCTCCTCGGACCTGGCAATGAGGCTGAGCCCCTTCTTCCACTACGAGTCCGACGACGAGAGCGTTCCGCCCACACACTTCGAGTGGCAAGGGCGCACCTACGAGCTAACCAATCAGCTCTGGGACGCGCTTATGGAAGGGGAGGCGCCGTCAAATTCCAGCTGATTGGTCGAGACATAACGATGTAAGACACCTATTTGGTGGACCTGGAACAATATCAATTAATTTCCAAAGCAAAAGCGTTAAAATTCTGATGAATGGCTGGCCTTTGGCACCAGACACTGCATTGGCTGAATAATTATAGCACTCATGGTCAGACAATTGACCTATATGTCATGACACCTTATTTTCCAAATGTACTGTTATGGGATCTTTATTTAGTTCTGCACAATTGTCTAAAAGATTGCTAAACCGATTTCTATTAATACCAGTCAACTGTTTGGTTTGAGACTAAAGTACGGTATTCTCACTCTCATTTGTCACATCAGCATTGATACATTTACACACTTAACAATATTTTGTAGTCATACATTAACTTAAGTGTATTGTATGTGGTCAGCAGTTGGTATACTGTACGTGGAAAAGTGTATTAAAGGACTAATTTTGGGATCACTGCTTTAAGGCCAAGTGAAAGTTCAGTGGTTAAGGATCCATTTTACTAGCTTCAGAAAACAATGGAGGTGCCGGGTTTAAAGGGTCATTCGTAACGAATGTTACGTTTTTTTCTGAAGCCAAACCTACCTTTATATTTCACTTACCAAACTGGGTTATGTAAAATGCCATTGTTTGATGATGCGAGTGTAAGTGGGCCACACATTTACTAATCTAGCAAATACTTCCTCTGGCCATGTCTCTTGACTTTAATACTCTAAAAAACACGCTATATCGATGTAGATTAATTCAGTCCCAGTCACATCCATTACTCAATATCAAGAGACTGTTTTCACCTGGATTGGTAGGGGCAGATAGGAAGTGTGGTAGCAGGGAGTATGTTTCAGTTCTGGATTGTCTGGTGGAGCAAGTCTATGGGGTAAAGTGCATTTATGAAGATCAGGAGGGAGTGTGTTAACTGCTGTGAAAATAAAATGCGTCTACCCAAGTGCCTTTTAATCTAAATGGATGTCACTACATTTTAACAGGCGTCACCAGAAAATATTTCTGGAAAGGAATAATAATGAACGAGATGTTTGAAGTCTGTATGACAGTTGGAATTCATGCAGAGTCCTAAAACAATGACATCATGTATGTGAAGTCTGGTCATTTTGCATGCGTTGCATTTAAATATTTGCCGCAAGTGCAGTTATTTGTAAAGTGGATTGTAGTTTAATTGCTAAAGGAATTGACAAGAATTGAGCGTAGAGTTAAAGGTTCAAGCGTCCAGTTCTTTAAACATTTATTTAAATTTCACAGTAATGAAGTCCCCACAGGGGTACTTGCATTTTTCATGTTTTAACAATCATTCTGTCAGCAACACTAAAACCACTGTACACAATTATAATTGACGTTCTACCCAGTCCAATATGCACTTTTCACCTGGCTTGCTCCACCTCCCCTTTGGCTGAAATAATTGGGTTGAGAAACACGACCATGAAGGACGCTCAACCATCATGTACATTCGCTCATCTCCGTGGTCGCGTGGATTTCTCTTTGGGTCCTCAGGTTTCTCCCTCCACATTTAGAAACGCGTTTAGTATTTGGCTGCTTTAAATTTCCACTAAATTGAGCTATCATTTATGGCCATGTTGCTTCTGAAAATAAGCTATTTTGCTCAGTGGGCCTTACCTGATAAAATAAAAGTTTAGTTTATTAGATATTCTGGGAGAAGGTCCCATCCAAGTCCTGTCCTGACAGTTATAGCCGATTTATATAGACCGCACAATAATCATACCGAATATTACAAAAGTATAGTTATTATTGACCAAATTCTTACCTTGTAATTTCAGTATTCCCTTATTTTAAATATATACAAATGACATGAGGATGCCAGTCTAGCTGTCATGAAGTAACTAATTATTTGGCCAGTTTGCAGCTCTTGATCAGCAACAAAGGACATTTGTGGCATAATTTGTGGTTTAAAATACATGTCTCGTGAGCGTGTGGACGAATTCTCACACATGGAACATGCTGAACAGGAAAATAGCACCGCTCAACTGGCAAAGATCTCATGATATGCGCATACCAATTATTAAGATGTTAAACGAACAATTAACCCTATGACTGTAACTGAGCAATGTGATATCTATATTTAAAATGCAATTTGGGAAATTGGAGAGTGAAGGGAACCCATGGATTTGGGTGAAATAATGTGCAGGAAAAAATGCAACGTTTTTCAGTTTTAATAATATTTTGGCATGGCTTTGCAATACCCCGCTAAAGCCAATCTCATCAGCCCTGAAAGAAGGCACTACCATCTGTCAAATTTTCCATTGTTCCAACTGCTTTCAGAGCCTGGTCAACTAAGATGACCCACATTGTCATCATTTCATAAGGGACCAGAAGCATTTGAAAATATGGCCAGACAATACAAATATAGCACTTGTATATTGACATTTTAGTTTTTTTACCACCAAAAAAATTGCTGAAAATGAATGTTATTCCTATGGGAATATATTGCACTAGATACACAATGTGCAAATACTGTACGCATATCCTTCATAAATAAAGTCGAACCAGGAGTGTTAAATGAACCAGCAATGTTCCGAGCTATCTGACGTCGAATGTAAAAAATCTGTTATGTGATTATTTCACTCTTTCAGCTCCCCACAAATAGCGCAAGAAGATGCGGCCTTCAAGTCACACTGGCAAGGGGTTTGCATGAGTTTAACTTTCCATGATAAAGCTTTTGTGGGTTAAATCGTGTAACTGTGTCGTAAACCCACAAGTCGATTAGCAAGGTTTGTCGCATGAACAAAACATGCCAAATTTTTTACGACTTCAGCACACCGGTGTGTTAGACAGCAAACCCACAACATGTACAATGTGAGGATGACGTTTTGCCATTGATTACAACCAGTATCATCAGCCATTTGCCATAATTGTTGAAATCACCAGCGAAACGTCGTACTCAAATTGTACATTTTGTGGGTTTGCTCTCTAACACTGGGTGTGCTAAAGTAACTAATTGTCACGTTATGTTCATGCGATCGGTCGTCTGGTGGAGGATAGGTTTACAACACATTTAACATTTGTTAACCAAAAAAATGTTATCATGAGTAATATCGGTTGTGAAGAACTACGTTTTAAATTCGTCTTAATTTTTTTAATATTATTTTTAAACTTCAATTTTAAAGCAAACGTTCTCCAGAGGCATACAGACGAGACTGTTGGGCATTCAACTCAGCCCAACACCGCTGTCATTTTCTCATCAACTGCTGCCCAGGATTAACACCATAGTCCCAAGACATTTAACACTTTACAATTAACCAACCTGTCCTAAAATAACCTTGTTTTGCTGATTTGGACGGCAGAATTTCTTGTTAATTGGAACACAAAATGAGATATCCTAACATTAAACACGTTACAGTGCAAAAGTCTCAAGCCAGTATCTAACAATTCACCTTTCTGATTTACTTAAATTGTTAATGAATAAAAAAATATGCTAATGTTGCACCGCCGCTAATGAGGGTGGCTTCAGCTTCTGCTTAAGGTCGCAAAAAATTCACACCAAATTAATTCAATCGTTTAAAAAATGTGCTACAGTGCAAGTCTCAAGCTAGTATCCAACTCTTCCTCATTGGGATTATTTGACTTGCATCGTGGACGTTTATTACGAAAGTTGGCAATGTTCTATACTGACGAGTGTGGCTTAGGCTTTGACTAAGGTTGCATAGATTTCCAGTCCCGGGTCAACGTAGAGTATCACAAAACCTTGCTGCAATAAACAAAGGGATCCTTGGATGGAGACAAAAAAAACATCTCTAGTTCAACACCACATCCTTGTACAGCCCATTCACACATTTCAACGCTCAATAATACAACTATGGCTCTTCAAAAGTGGTTTACAACATCGGATCTTGTGGTCCAACACGGTCCAGCTTTCCCATTTGTGAAGCGTTGAGCACCCGACTTTTCCGAGGTTTGAGGAGAGTGGCTGGCGCACCAAGAGGGTGAACGTTAAGAACAGCTGCTCTTACGTTTCCCAAACCACACCCAGTCCATATGTTCAAGGAGAAAGAATGGCATCTGTCCGTGCGTTCATGCTGTAAATGTAACTGGAAAAGCCACAGAACTCAGAGCAGAGATAATAACCCACTGTTGGAAAACGGAACGATGCTTAATGCCGAATAATACAACCGTTATATTTAAACTATGCAAATTAAATGGAGATGTCTGGGTATCCGAATAATCAGTGCACTCACATTTTGGGGTCATTGTGCAGAAGACTCTATCCTGTACCCTTGGCAGGGTTTTAAAACCCCTGCTCTGAGCTTGGGGGAAAATCTTAAAGTCTGCAACATTTCCACAAGCTTTGTACTTGGCACTTGAATAATGATTAAAACGTGGATTAGGTCATGGTCCATAATGTCTGGGTTGTAAGAGTCGGTTCCACCAGGGGGACACTAAATCCATGGTTGCACTGGGAAGCAGATTGTCAGAAAATGAATCCCATCAGATAAAAACTAGCCAGCAGCAAAAGGTACCAGGCAGCATTTATATTTTAAATTGCCAACAAATGAGTACCGAGACACATGCACACATATTAGCAAATGGTGGCGCAACCCCATGATGGGCCAGTGTTGATCGCTGGATCAAAAGGCTTTGAATGAAATGCCTGGTCGACCCAGGTACCCATAGCCAAGTATTTCTAAAGATTATTACGTAATTAATCTCAGCAGTGGCATAAGATAAGTCCATCATGGGGTTTGCTCCACTGGCTACTCGTGTTGCCAGAGTGTGTTAAGGTCTAGATGGGTGAGCATTCTTCGAATAAAATGTCAGCTGTAAGTGAAAATTATCAAATATCATTTATTCAGGAAAGTGTCATTTAGTCACACCATTTTTTCAAGCGCATCCTAAATAAAAATGTTGGGCCAATTCAATTTGAAGCAATGGTTTGTATGTGTGGTCAGAATAAGCCTATGCATTAGAGGAGATGACATTCAATGGACCGTACAGATGAGTTAACAATTCCATTAGCTCTACTGCCATGTTCTTGGCCATTACACAGCCCAGCAGGTTTAAAAGTTTCACATATCCACACGATCCACCCAACGCTTGCCTCAAAATCACCGGATAACACTGACCACAATGTATTTTCACTCTGTGATATTTTTGTTATATATATTTTAACAGCTGTAATAATATATTCATCTTTTGCTGCCGGTTAAACATTATTTACATCGTCGACGGTTTTTTTTTGTTGGTGGGATGCATTTTTCCATTGCCGACGAACACGCGTTTCATTTCCCGTCGTGGGCCGAGGTCAGAACGCGTTGAGCTGCAGGCAGCGGCAACCGCAGCCGGAGGGACATTCGCTGTGCCCCAAGAACCAGTCGAGCATGTGGCTGGAGTGGCCGCCGTGGCCGCACGAGAGGCAGAAGTTGGAGGAGCCGCGCACGGCGACGTGACACACGGCGCACTGGAAGGAGAAACCCTTGCAGTTGGCGCACTGGGAGCTGCGTGCCTCGCAGCCACACTGGTAGCAGCAAGTGCTGAACTCTGTTGGGAACAAAGCGATGGAAATTCTTTGATGCGATAAAAAAAAACCTATTCGGCGAAGAAATAACAGCGGAATGGTAATGTCATAAAGCTGTGAAGCAGACGCCATAGTGATCCCGCAACATCATTTTGCAAAGGTAAGCCGATGTACTGCAACTGAACGAGTTACTGTGATAAATTACCATTTTTCAGGTCATGTCTGGCAAAAGAGATAAGGAGTCTTTGACTGACCTTCATCTACTTAATTAAAATGTAATGAAACAGGTGATAAAATACGGGAATTTGGTAAGGGAGGTTTGTTGAATCACATGACTGACATGACATGTAACACACTAGCCTTCCCGGATTAATGTTTCTCCACAGTAAGATCGTCTTATTTAAACACCAAGCATTAATCTAGAAGGAGGCCCAGAGTCGAACAGTTTTTTCAAGTGTTATTTCCATCCGGTGATGTATTAGCGATACACCGGTGATAATAAACCAGTCACCCAAAGCTACTTACCTACACCCTTGTGAGGGTCGGGTGGACAGGAAACAAACTTTAACACCTCTGCCCTCTTGTCCTTGAGCCCCCAGCGATAGAGGATTTCGCCATAGCACTTCTTAAACTCATCGTACTGCAGTGAGTTTACAGGGTCTAGGAGACTGCATGCATGGGTGCACACACAAAAACGTAAAACAAAATTACCTACACAGTCTTCCTCATTTGCTGTGCAAATGAAACTTTGAGTAGAGATGAGGCGGTGTGTGGCCAGTACATACCCAGCCATGGTTGTCTACCTGGTGCCAATGCTTTCAACACTGAACTAGGTTCATGTTCATGACAAAAAAGACGACCTAGCAGATGCCCACGGAATGCTCAGTAAACATGTCCCGCGGATGATTTCATGGAAAGGGGTCAAAACCAGGTTGATAGGATGGTAATGTCTTTTGCGAACCACTTTGCCACTGAACAATCCATACACGTACAAATATCTCTATATAGCCGTATAGGTCGTTGCAGCAAGTACTATTAGCAATGACAAAGGCGCGCACACACACCAACTCACAGAAGCACACAAATGCATATGCAAGTGATTAATTAATTTCTCTAGTAGATTTTACATAGGTACCAAATTGAGACGTATCTCCAGATGTTGGAAAGAATTGTGGAAGATAAGATACATTTTCGGCTAAGGGTTGGAGAACACAACTCTTTACATCAATATTAATATTTGAAAATAATTTTTAAAAATCTCATGACGATGTTCAACTATTGCATTTTCTGAAACGCAAGTTTTTTTTGTTGTATTTCCCACAACTTACATTGCGTATTCTGAAAACTGTACCTAAAAGCAAAGTGAGGCTTATTCCCAGTCTGTATCACTGTGCAATGACCCAGCAAGGGACATGAGATTTTGCCTCATGCGCCGTAATGGTACCCCCTCTTAAAAAGTGGCTCGGCTGCACAACAACAACAATCCCCAGAATGCACTGCGGCAGCCCGCACCGTTTGTTCTTCTCATGCTGCTCCCTCTCGCGCTCACGCGGGTCAACGTGCTTGTGGTCCCCATAGCGGGAATCGTCCGGAGACTCCAGCCACGGCGCTGCCTCGCCTTCCCGCCAAACTATGAAGGCAAAGATCACCCGTATAGTCTTAACAAACTGTAGGGACAAGTGTTGTTAGCGAGTAGCACCTATGAAGGCCGGTACGGCACACGAAGGGGTGGGCGGCCAACACCACACCCGGCACCTGGTATTAATTTGAGCCTGCGTTGACCTAGGTTAGGCCCAGCACCGGCTCGCGGTCTGTGCTCCCACAGACTACGCACACACATGCACAATTGCCAAACGTGCAATTGACAAAGAAACATCACAAATACATGACCCTCCAGCAAAGTCTCATGATATTCAGTTAGGCTTTGTTGGATAAAAGGACATCATTATTGCATAGCGTATGCTTGTACATATATGCACAAGAGCAAGTACCCCACGTGTTAGCCTGGCCTACTATTGTAAAACAAAACAATTTTGCTTCATTTAACACCTATATGCGATCTCATTTCAAGCTGCAGAAACAGTAGGTATATTTATTTTTTTATAGAGAGAGGCAATAGGTCATAGAAAAGAGAAAAACTAAGTTTTTCAACGGTTTTACTTAACTTGATTCCTCTGTTTGTCTGGGTCAAATCTTGTAATCAAAATTTTGTCCACTTCCCGTTGCCAAAGCAATTCCGCATTTTGCACAACGTACTCAGATCCGGCATCAATTAATTCGCTACTTCAAAGCAATTTACATTTTGTATGGTCGCCTTATTTATAGATATTTGCGTAGGTCAAAAACGCCGCGGTCCCTAAACTGTGGAATCGGCTCGCACAAAACGCAGGCGCCGCGTGTCTCAGGCGCCATTGACGTACTTCTCGACCACGAGTTAAACGAAGTTGTTAATAAAACCGTTGTTTTTTAAAAAAACTTTTTAAAAAGAGTTTATTACGCCTTAACTTGGAAAGAGGCAGGAAAGTTAAAAGCACGGATGATGGGCGGAGTAAATGAAGAGAGTTTCAGACTACGATAGCAGCAGCAGAGGACGAGAGAGCTACTCCTAATCGAAGGCCGAATCGGGGGTGGTGACTTATGTTCAAGAGTTTGTTGTGTTTCCCCCCCGCACCTCCGATTAGCACGGTTGGCCACGTACGGTGCGAAAGAAGTTTAACATACCGTACATAACGTGCATGCGAGCACCTAATAATGCCGGCACTTGAACTCACCAATGTTCCAACCTCCGGACGTGTACACGTTGTCCGAAGCACTGGAACCAGAACCCGAGGAAGTGTAGCCAGCCTGCGCTCCAGCGAAAGAGTGTATAATGACGTGAACAATACAACACCACCGCTGCGTGTGTCCATGACGCTCTTGCCACACCGCGTAGCTTCTTTTCGGGCTGTAATTCACTCCTCGATCAGAAACTACATTTGAAATTTTGCTTGCGATGGAAAAAGACCAAAAAAAAAGCAAATCAATAAAAATAATCTACGTTCTGCCTTGTTACACGTCAAGGAGAATGCCCGTTAATCGTTCAGGAAAAAAAAACCTTGAAATCCAATTTAAGTGTTGGCAGAATGCACTAATTTGCAGAGGAAGAAATATGCAAAAATCTGTCTGTTTCCAATCAGTTGTTGTCACAAAACTGCCTTCATGCCAACACAATTAGCCCCTTGTTGTCTTAATGAGCTCTCTTGTAAGTGTACAGACCTCCTTTTAATTTACTGCAGGATGAGGGCCTCCCCATGCCGTGCGAGTCGTGGGCGTTAGATCACGCCAGTCAGTTCAGGCTGATGAAGGTGCGCCAGCATAGATGCTGGAGTGTAGTATAGTCCAACAATGCATATTACTGCAGTGCTATGGCACTGCCCTCTGACACCCAGTTATAAATACAGGCTGCCTATCTATCCACTTAAATTAAGGAGATGCACCAACAAAAATGGGGCGCCGTGGTGGTGACATGTTATCTCCCTCGCCTGGTATGTAGGAGGTCGTGGGTTCGATCCCGACACTGACGCCTGCTGTATATTTGAATTTACATGTTCTCCCGGTGGTCCGGTTTTTCCCTCCAGAAACATGCGTTTAGAGTATTTGGTTGGTATAAATTTCCACATGATAAGCCACTTCGTTGAGCTATCATTTGTGGCCAGGTCGCTTCTGAAAAAGAGCTACAGTGTAAAGCTCAGTGGGCCTTACCTGGTAAAATAAAAAAATAGTTAGATGTGGCGTGCGTCTCTACTCACGGACGGCAAACCCGACGCGGCCTGCATCTTTCCGAGCCCTCGCGCATCCCCGGACATCGCCCCCATCTCGTGTGGCCTGCTCTGGGCCTCGAACACGCTGCACAGCATCGCCAGCGTCTGCACGTCATGCATTCGGCTGTAGTGGGTGAGCCTGCGCAAGCGTGGATAAATAGATATGTATTAAACGTTGGCGTGTAGCATCTCATCAACTGAAACAGTTTTTTGTTAGGCGGCCAGGTGGTTCAGGGGTCAAATAACAGCACCAAGCCATCAATCAATGAGATCCTGAGTTCGAAGACTGCCCAAAAAGTACATCACAAAATGTAGCTTATATTAATCTCTGAGAATTAAAAAAACATTTGTTTGAACAATCTTTATAGGACACGAGCGGGAATTACCCAGCGTTGCCCAGCGGAAAAATATATTTCAAAACTTCTCTTAAAAACATAACATATACGTACACAAATACTAAGCTATTGTGAAAGCCCGGCGTACCGTTTGTCTGTCCATTTGTCCGTCAACAAAATTATAAGAGGCTTGCCGAAGTCCAAAAAGTTATAGAAAGTGGGGGGGGTCTAACACCGTTTGAGACGAGGCTCAAAAGAAAGCTGTCTCTGGTGTGGACCACTCAGTTTCAAAGACAATGCATATATTATTTTTTGCATTCTGACCACAAGTATTGTGGTTAATGCAGACATGATTCCTTGTTAAAAGTGTTATTTTTGTTGCCAGAAAAAAAGGGAAAAAACCTATTCTCATATTTTGGTACTGGCAAAGGAGGTCCCATGGAGTATATATCGACTCTATAATAGTACTAACCTCAAAGAGTGTAGTGGTGAGGCCTAGTCCCGTGCAAAGCCCCCGGCCTCGCCTAGATTGCCCAGCTAGCCGAGGTGGCACCTCTGCAGGCTGGGGCTGAGCTGCTACCCCCCACCATCCCCCCGCCCGCTCTACAGTAATAATATCTGAGGGCTATAATAGTAGTATCTCCCGAAACTATAGTAGTAAGTGCACACATTGGGATGGGGGGGGGGAGAAAAGGACATCAAACTTGAATAATTTACCTCAGCGGTGTATTTTTTGTGCATTTTTAACTCGAAAGAGAATTACCCCCTCCCCTCGCCGATCGCGTGTATGTGTTGCTATGGGAACCACAGGTCAGCGTTTCGCGCATGCGCAGATGCGTGCTCTGGTGCCACCCTGTGCTTATAAAAGGAATAAATTGTTAATTTAACTACTTTAAAGTTGACGGATGGGAAATACGAATAGTGCTGGTTCACCCCCCGGGCTTATCGTGTGGTATCTGGGTACTTTTTTTATACGTATAGCCCACAGTTTGTTAGTTAAATCCATCTCAAGTTGCGTACACAGACAGACAGATGGACAGAGACACACAGAAAGACAAAAATTACTGGTGTGGAAAGAGAAATCCACTGAAGTGATTTCAAAATTATTTCTGTCATGTCATCCTTTGGGCTGTTCTCTGATACTGGGTGGTGCAGTGCTGACTACACACAGTTCTAAATGGAAATGTTTAATTCTTATGACATCATGCTAACACAATTAGAATTGGGGAAACAAATGTGGTATATTTTCACTGCCAAATGAGACTAAACTAATGGGAAACAATGCTAAGGAGTCAGTAAAACCAAGAAAAAAATTACATATTGATTTTTAAACTGAAACTTGACCCCCAAACCATAACATATTATAAATTCAGAGCACTGGTGAAAACTCTCGTTTTACTGTGGTCTCCTGAGACCTCTCACATAAACTGACTCAATCCGACGTATTGGCGAGAGTGAATGTATTTCAACGATGAAGAATAAAATAACGTGCGATTCGTACAAGGAGTCGATGAAACGCCGGCCGAAGGGATGGCACGCCCAGGGGCTCTCGGAGTCTGGGTTGTCACTTGGCAGCAGAAACTCACTCGTGGAGGCAGCTGCCAATGACCATACCTAAGCGGTTGGGTTTGGGGAGCAGAGGGAGAGACAAGGTATGCGTTACAAAGAACAACGGCATTGGCCGTCTTGATTTGGGTGCGTTGGGGGAGGGCGACGGTTACGACGGGATGCTGAGCCAGCACGTTTAAGGTGCTGGGGTTGAAAGGGTGCGTACACTTGAAAGGGTGCGTACACTTGAAAGGGTGCGTACACTTGAAAGGGTGCGTACACTTGAAAGGGTGCGTACACTTGAAAGGGTGCGTACACTTCGCACTGCTGTACGATGGAGGTCCGGGCTGGCACCGCCGACGCGATCCGTTGCCGGAAACGTGATGCGATGGGGCTCACCTGAACCAGATCTTTGCGACCGATGCTGGCGGCCGCTGCAGCATTCTTCTGGCACATCTCCTGAACATCATTCACTTCCAGCCTACATTACACAGCAAGTGCAACAATTTGGATACAAAAAAAGCCCATGGTAACAATAAAGTTACTTAACGTAGTGGATACAACGATCCATATTTGTTATCGGGTGAGGTGACATCGTAGTTTCCCTCCGATTACAAGACTTTCGTCATAAAACTACAGTGCCCTAACACCAAAATTAATATGGTGCATGAGGATCTTTGGATGAAATGTGCCTTACGAATGTTAATTATTATTACGGATCAAAAAGGTATCTCTCTCTCTGACTTATTCTGCACTATCCCAGCTAAGATGGGGTTAAAAGTTAGAAATACAGATGACTGAGATGCAGTAATCACCCCATGCCGTGCAAAGCACACAAGACTTAAAAATTATTTCTGTGCTATAATTTTCCAGGGTCTTTCCCTCTTTCATGATGTGAAACTTTGCTAACAAAATGTCAAACAAACTTATGAAATAGTATATAACAGGTTATAAAATTCTGACACGTACTATATACTGCATAGAAATACCACCATTTATTACCACAAGTTATTCCTCATTGCCCAATGTTGTGCAGGAAAAGAGGAAGGCAGGTTACTGAGATGGGCATTTGTGTGGCAACTTAAGGGAGGAATGAATGGCAGATGGTGGGATAAGAGAAGACATTGGAGGTCTGGTGTCGTGTGTATGTTTGTTGAACTTATTTCACACCGTATGTAGCCAAAATCGCTAATCGGACGTGCGGGGAAGGACAAACTCAACACAAAAAGCAGGTCTAAAGAAATTATTTTTCAATTTAGATTTAAAAGTGCATAGCTCCAGTGGCTTCCAAATATCAGAAGGAAAAATGTTCCAGACAGCTGCAGAAGCGCATCTGAAAGCAAGCGATGCTGTAACTATCTTTGTTCGACTTTGAAACAGCTGTGCCACCTGGAAGTGGTGACGGATGTGGTCACACCAACAGCACTTGCCTAACATGACCTCTAACTCAACATCCGGCACTAGTCAGCGCAAGTCCCTCTACTCCGTCGATAGACGCACGGCAGGAAATGTTCATGTGTGTGCGTGCACGTGCACGTTAGGGGGAGCGGTGGTGCAGTGGTTAGCGCATTGCATAATAAACCTGGTGACCTAAGTTTGATTTTCACCCATGACTACTGGCAAGAGATATCAGAACTAGTTCTGGGCCTCTCCTTAGATCGACTCAGCCTTACATGAGCACCTGGTGCAATGAACGTCAGCAAAGGGGGGAGACAAAGACGGCTTTAGACGTGGCGGCTGGTCAGAAAAAATCTCCTCGTGCGCTGTGTCGGCCTTAATAGGTGCCCACTAACAGCACCTGCCCCGGTGGTCCACGAGGTGAAATTTTCTCTGCTTCTGCGTGCGTGCTCACGTGTAGAGCTCGGCCAGCTGCCGATGAATGGGCAGCAGGCAAGAGATGTCTTGCACAATAACCTTGCCGGCAGCCTTGATGGGTCGGCTGTTGGTCAAGTCACCACCCTCCTTCTTCACCTTGGTTCGCCGAATTTTCTGCACAACACAGGGCGGACACAAAGCCTCGGTGAGTGCCTCAACTCGAGCGTGGCGAAGAAACTTCGTCGCAGCTGGCCATCTGTCCGGTACTTTACACGCTCTCGTGGAACCATTTCAAGGCACCCACCCAAAGCAGTGTTGTCCTTTGCCAAGACGCAACGTTGGCCGTGCGTGATATTTAGCTTCATGATCCTCGCAAGTCTAGCTGTTAACTCCAGAAGACCTTGACTGAAATTGGTGTCAATCTCATTCACTATTAATGAGTATACACGACTGTACGTCTATCAGGAAATTATTAAAGTTTTCATAATTTATGTGATAATTTATGCATTACGCGTTTCATCTACATGCCTGCCATCCTGTTTAATTATAGGCAAAAAATTTTTACAAGACCAATGCTGCCAGGTTTGGTAAAGCCTGTTGGCATTTGCGGGCATCTCTATAGCACAGTTGGGCAGCTCCTGTATGTAACTGCGTGATCTTCACTGAGCCAACTGGCGAAGAATAAATTATGCTGCATTGGCAGTTGTACAAAAGCACAGACAACAAAAACTCAACACATCCCTCAAAGACAATGCCTGAAAATGAAAAATATATATATAATATATGACTGTTACAGACCATGGCCCTTCTTCATAGCAGAGAATAAACACTGCTCTCAAGATAGACGATTGCCCAGAAAAGCCACGATTATATATTCTTCTTCTTTAGTTAAGTGTTATTGATGAATGTGTTGCGTTTTTCTTCAATTATCATGATGTTGCCACCACACTGCCGGGACAAGCGAATCACGCAGCACACGTATTATTTTTACACTTATTTACCCAGGAAAGGCCTCACTACTGATTCTCATCACTCTTTTTTGGAGACCCGTGCCAAGTTTTCGTAGTAGGGGGTGCCATGGTTGCGATGTGTATTGAATTTTTTAAATTTTGGCAAATTTGGAGCGTGATTCCGCCGCCCCCACGACCTACTCTTGCGAGTGTGACGTCACGGAATCTTTAAATTCCACAATACGGAGCAGACAGTTAAATCACCCGCCAGCGGCAACTGGGGCGACCGATGGATTCGAACCGTCAAACCTCCGCGATAAGTGACGAACGTGATACCACCCCTAAAGGGCCACTTCACTGCCCCGTTTCAATGCTCAGCCCCACCCGCTCTTTGTAGTAGAAGGAGCTGATGGACACTTCCTTCTCGTTGTGCGTGGGGCTGCTGCTGTAAAGGCGCAGGTTGGTCTGCGACTCCGAGCGGATCTTCATGGGCGTGATGACGCCGCTGTGGTACGCCGACAGCGCCGACAGAGACCTGCCGGAGCCGGGCACAGGAAGCAAAAATAATTCGTGCAAGGTACTCGCAGGACAAACGTTACCAGCGGTGTTGCCTGATATCTTCAGATCTGGGAAGCTATGCGGGATTTTGAGCTTGGATAGTGCTTTGATGGGCTGACCGGCATTCGTAAAAGACAAATGTTACTCGAGGCGTCCGTCGTGGGCAGCAGAGATTTTGTGTGGCAAATGGCGTTGAAATATACCACGTCTATGTTTAAACATTTACGTTTGCTCCTCCCTTCATCAACTCACACTGACCAGCATGGTGAAGTATGGTCAAATAACCCCTACGATACCCACACAATGTGGGGGAGGTCCTCATCCAAGAGTGAATTAAGAAAGAGCTGTCAGGTACTTGAGCTATGCAACCACCGACTGAACAGCTACGCGTGACACTGCACACATATAATCCAGTGGTTTGGGGGCAAGTGTGCAAGTGTTGATGGATGATATAGATCTTTGAGGATCTTGTCTGCTGGGCTGTGAGGTGGCCAGGAGATGGCAGTACAGAAAATGGTTATCTGCAGGGGTTGCCAATCAAAATAACAAGAGGAGCCATTATTTATTCGAATTCGGTAATAAAAAACCCAATATTTCAAGAGCCGCAATGGCCTGCGGTGAATACGAGACGATGATCCTTGATAAATAATTCACGAACCCACAGACTTACCTACCCTATTGTACCGACTTAAAAAAAAACTAACGACCTCTCCCTCTACCTGCCTACCATCCTCGCCGAGCTACTCAACCCCCATGTGTTAAAAAAAACGTATTGCATCCACAGAATCTAGACATCAAATAGTAACCGCATCAGGGTAAATGTTTAGTTATGTTTATTTTGTTTAACCAGGTAAGAACTCAAGAGACCAGCGCAGTCTTAATTTTCAAGAGTGACATGACGCACGAATATGGCGATATAATCTCATTCGCAAAAAGGTACTCTCACAAGGTCATGGAACAGATACCAATATTTACATTATTTTGTTGCTATAAATGTCCAAATGAAAACCCACTTTGTTTGAGCTATCATTTGTGGCAGGGGCGTTTTTTAAAAATAAGTGAATATCTCAGTGGGCTTTTCCTGGAAGGATGGGGATGGTTTAGTTGTATTTGTTTGTGTTTTGGTAATTTGTTTACCTTATCTTGTACTTTCCACTACTATCATGTTGTTGTACTGTTTGTTGTTGTAACGTTCTTACCCGACCCTACAGGACATCTGTGAAAAAGAGCTTAATAGCTCATCACATTCTTCCAGTATAAATACATATTCTGATTCTGATATTTGGTATGCACATTCATACACATTCATACATATTCTGATTCTGATATTTGGCATGCACATTCATACACATTCATACATATTCTGATTCTGATATTTGGTATGCACATTCATACACACTCATGCACACTCATACACATTCTGATTCTGATATTTGGTATACACATTCATACACAACCATACACATTCATACACATTATTACGCAGTGCAAATCCCAGCACTGCTAAATAATGTATCAGACCTCAGTAAAAAGTTTATAACCAGAGAAGAAGTTAAGGGGTTTTTTTCTCAAAAAATCTAAGGTTGTAGGCACGAAAGGCTATATTATTAAAATAGGCGCATGGGTGTGCTTGCATCGTGTAAGTTAAATTATTAAAATTTGATATTTACAACTGGAATAATGATCAGCATACCAATTACCGGAATTTTTTATTTAGACTGGTGGAATATGATGAGCTGTGAAGCTCTTTTTGCGCAGATGTGCAGTCGGGGTGAATTATCAAGTTACAGTGAGGGAAAAAAGTATTTGATCCCCTGCTGATTTGTACGTTTGCCCACTGACAAAGAAATGATCAGTCTATAATTTTAATGGTAGGTTTATTTGAACAGTGAGAGACAGAACAACAACAAATAAATCCAGAAAAACGCATGTCAAAATGTTATAAATTGATTTGCATTTTAATGAGGAAAATAAGTATTTGACCCCCTCTCAATCAGAAAGATTTCTGGCCCCCAGGTGTCTTTTATACAGGTAACGAGCTGAGATTATGAGCACACTCTTAAAGGGAGTGCTCCTAATCTCAGCTTGTTACCTGTATAAAAGACACCTGTCCACAGAAGCAATCAATCAATTAGATTCCAAACTCTCCACCATGGCCAAGACCAAAGAGGATGTCAGGGACAAGACTGTAGACCTACACAAGGCTGGAATGGGCTACAAGACCATTGCCAAGCACCTTGGTGAGAAGGTGACAACAGTTGGTGCGATTATTCCCAAATGGAAGAAACACAAACGAACTGTCAATCTCCCTTGGCCTGGGGCTCCAAGCAAGATCTCACCTCGTGGAGTTGCAATGATCATGAGAACGGTGAGGAATCAGCCCAGAACTACACGGGAGGATCTTGTCAATGATCTCAAGGCAGCTGGGACCATAGTCACCAAGAAAACAATTGGTAACACACTACGCCGTGCAGGACTGAAATCATGCAGCGCCCGCAAGGTCCCCCTGCTCAAGAAAGCACATATACATCCCCGTCTGAAGTTTGCCAATGAACATCTGAATGATTCAGAGGACAACTGGGTGAAAGTGTTGTGGTCAGATGAGACCAAAATGGAGCTCTTTGGCATCAACTCAACTCGCCGTGTTTGGAGGAGGAGGAATGCTGCCTATGACCCCAAGAACACCATCCCCACCGTCAAACATGGAGGTGGAAACATTATGCTTTGGGGGTGTTTTTCTGCTAAGGGGACAGGACAACTTCACCGCATCAAAGGGACAATGGACGGGGCCATGTACCGTCAAATCTTGGGTGAGAACCTCCTTCCCTCAGCCAGAGCATTGAAAATGGGTCGTGGATGGGTATTCCAGCATGACAATGACCCAAAACACACGGCCAAGGCAACAAAGGAGTGGCTCAAGAAGAAGCACATTAAGGTCCTGGAGTGGCCTAGCCAGTCTCCAGACCTTAATCCCATAGAAAATCTGTGGAGGGAGCTGAAGGTTCGAGTTGCCAAACGTCAGCCTCGAAACCTTAATGACTTGGAGAAGATCTGCAAAGAGGAGTGGGACAAAATCCCTCCCTGAGATGTGTGCAAACCTGGTGGCCAACTACAAGAAACGTCTGACCTCTGTGATTGCCAACAAGGGTTTTGCCACCAGGTACTAAGTCATGTTTTGCAGAGGGGTCAAATACTTATTTCCCTCATTAAAATGCAAATCAATTTATAACATTTTTGACATGCGTTTTTCTGGATTTTTGTTGTTGTTATTCTGTCTCTCACAGTTCAAATAAACCTACCAATAAAATTATAGACTGATCATTTCATTGTCAGTAGGCAAACGTACAAAATCAGCAGGTGATCAAATACTTTTTTCCCTCACTGTACATCAACAAACAAATGTAAGAAAGGATACGAGAGTAAGGTGGAGAGATGTTAACAAAGTCACTAATGAATAAATAAATATAAATAAATCAATGAAGTACAAATTGCACTGGTACATGAATTCCAAATTAAAGCTAGGGCAAGGCAGAAAAATAATAATAACAAACCCTCGACCACACCAATACGACACAGTCCCTTGACCACACTGAATCTTAAATTTAAAACCATGGATACACAAGTAAGGTTCATAGTTTCAAGTCACAGCTGCAAACGTGGCTGTATCTGGCACTAATCTTCCGCTCAAGGCTATGGTCAACTTGCTGCTTGCACCAACGACCTCGATAATTGCATTTGAATGTCACGTCAATTTGCTTCAGAGGTGAGTGGGATAAATGAACAACGTTTAATTGGGAAGTACACATTACATTTATTTTTAAACCTTCCAGTCACTCTAAACTTATATTTATATCAATAACTATGAAAGCCTCACGATGACCTGAGACTCATATAACCTTATCTAACGTAAAAAAATGTTATCAAATTTTTTTCTAATTAATTGTAAACTAACCGGACCAAAAGTTGCATTGCCAAGTAACCACAATCGATGTAATCTTGGCCATTAAACTATTTTTAACCGAAACGCTTACGTCACAAATCCGCCAAGCCCTAAGCAAAGTGACCTTAAGCCATAACCTCACTGCTAACTCTATCCCAACACTGACCACAACACCTAACGCGAGCCGTAAACCAATCCCAATCCCTATACAGGGATGTTGCCCCCTTACTGTGTGAGGGGGAGAAGCTTCCCTTGGAGACCTGGGTGGGTGAGTTAGTATGTGGGTGAGTAAGCGAGTATGTGGGAAGTGAGCGAGTGGGCGGGCGAGTGAGTGAGTGGGTAAGTAAGCTAGTGAGTAAGTGGGGGAGTGAGTCAGTGGGCGAGTAAGCGAGTAAGTGGGTGAGTGACCGAGTAAGTGGGCGAGTGAACGAGTATGTGGGGGAGTGAGCGAGTGGGCGGGTGAGCGAGTGGGTGGGCGGGCGGGTGAACGAGTGGGTGGGCGGGTAAGCAAGTAAGTGGGTGAGTGAGCGAGTGGGTGTGCGAGTGAGCAAGTGAGTGGGCGAGCATCCTTTGTGTGGGACGGGTGGATGTGTGCACCTTGGCGTGGGCTCTGTGGGCGAGACGGAGCGGTTCATCATCATGGGCCGCATGAAGTAGACGAGGAAACCTGGGCAGCACGCAGCACTGGGGCATTATGGGTGCACGCATTCTCTCAACCGCTGCAATAGCAATGAATGCCAATGCGAGGGCAACGTATCCCACGAGAAGATAACGGCAGCGTCACAGACAAGTCGAACACATGGGTGGCGGCTGCCGCATTCCGACTGTGAACCCGAGCAACGAGCGGCGGATGCGCCACCACTCAGGCCACACACACCACGGCCACTCGGCATCTCGTGTACAGGGACGCTAAAATTCCAGCAATTACGAGAGGCGCGAGGGTGTCACCTGCTCCGCAGAAGCGAGCCCCCGACGTGCGAGGGAAGGGGATGTTGGAGTCCTGGTAGGAGCCGTAGGTGTTGCTGACGCGGTGGAACGGTAGCGGAGATGGCACGGGGTTGGTGAGGGTGTAAGGGTTCGGGGAGCCCGAGCTGCCTCCACCGCCATCTTGATTCTGGCCATGGGAAAACGCAACGTGACGAAAAAAATGTCACGTGAAGATCAGCTCAAAGAAACAAATTCATCTCACAGTGCAGGCAGGTGCCTCTGACCACATCGCACGAAATGTCCTCAATCTCGTAAGATCTCAGAAGATATGTAGTTGATCCCGGATGGTGCTTTCATGGGCAACCATCATTCTCACAAGGTTGCTATAGGCTGCAGAGCTGTGTGGTGAGCAGTAGAAGCCAGTGCGGTAAAAAAGAAGTTGATGGACTGTACTTATATGCTCCCCCACATCTCACTTCCCCACCTTCATTAACCCACACTGACCAGCATGGTCAAGTGTAGTCATATAACTCTCATGACAGACACAGCGTGGGGAGGCACTCATCCGGTTGAAGGTTCAAACGGCCTGTGCGTGTACACGTATCGATGCGGGACTCGTTGGCTGGTGAAGTGAGAAGAGTGTGTACGCCTCACAATCGGAAGGATGCAATTTAGAATCCTGGCTGATGATCAGCTTTGCCCCTCCGTCCACCCGTTAGGGGTTGATAGAATGAGTACTGGTGTGTGAAGAAGCCAACAGTGGAATAAGGCTGTAAACAAGAGATGAATGCTGCCCGACATTTAAATCAGTGTAGATGGCATGTGTCTGCCATTCTTCCCAAAGACAAATTCGAAGTGTCGCTGATCAAAAAAACAGACATTCAAATCACGGTTAATCACGTTGTTATGGTACTTCACTGACATCACTGTGACATCACCCCCATGTTTTTAATACAAGGTCAACCTAGTGGCATCACTACAGCATAGTATCGCAGAATCCCTGAACGAAATTTAAAGGCCAATTTGCTATGAATGACGCTGCAAATTCATGACAGACAGAAGACGCAGCGCCTCAGTACTTCTCTATGCGATCAGAGCTTTTAGCCATGTGCACTCCAAATTAGTTTAAATCATTGCCTCCCTCTCTATCCCTGGCACCAACATCCGTACAATGGGAGGTCATGCCTCCTCTTTTACTGCCCGCACCATCTGATACGGTCACCCCCCGCCGCAACACCTGTTTTTAGTTTTTGCACAGTGTCTTGAGATGCACCTGCAAATATGGCTGAAAATAAAAAATAAAATCCTGCAACAATGTTCATGGCTGACGACTATTCAGCTCGGGTTTAAACTTTAATGCAACTATCCTTTGAAGTTCTGGGCTTTTCACACCAAAGAAACTCCCCCCCCCCCCCCCTCTCTGATAACGAGTCTTGATACTCATGGAAATGCTCTATGAATATAAAATTGTACTTTCAAAAATCCACTATTCGTCTGCATGTTGCTATTTATTATTATTACGCTTCCTTACCCAGGAGAGCCTCACTGAGTCTCACGAGTCTTTTTTCTGTAGGGCTGTGCCAAGTTTTGGCAGTTGGCTTCTAATGATGCGAAATAAGTTCTATGTATCCAATTGAGTATTTTTGCGAGTAGCTTTTCAAATTCGGCAAATTTAAACGGTGACATCGGCGCACAATGGCCTAGTCTTGCCAACAACATTATGGGATCTTTGATGTCCACTGTGAAATAGACGGCGTGCATTTTTTTTAATGGTTAAAATACCCGCAGTATTCGTCAACGTGGCCGCTGGATTCGAACCGTGAGCCTCTGCAACAAATGGCGAATGCGCTGCCGCTGGGCCGTGCCACCGCCTTGAATTTGTACGAAAAATTTATTAAATGAAACTATTTTACCGGGTAAAGCACACTGAGCTACATAGCCCCTTTTTCAGAAGCGACCTGGCCCCAAATGATAGCTCAACGAAGTGGCTTATCACGCGGAAATTTACAGCAGTCAAATACTAAATGTGGAGGGAAAAACCGGGAGAAAAATACACATGGCCACAGAGAAAGAGACATGCATAACTCCAAATATACAGCAGGCGCTAGGGATGGGATCAAACCCACGACCTCCTGTAAACCAAGCGAGGTAGTTAACATCTCTCCACCACGGCAAAATGAAATGTGAGCACCCACAAGAGTACGCCACAGTATGCCGCAAGAGTAATCGTGACCTCCGCTGTGCTGTGCGCACGGCCACTCAACGTGTGCTCGTAGCGCAGCATGCGGCCCCCGTGGTAAACAGGAGCGCCGGCAATTACTGTAATAACTGCCACAATGATGAGAGACTTCTGCGTAAATAAAACGCATTAAGTAACGACGTGAATTAATGACCGAGGAGCCTCGCGACTACTCTCCCCATCTCCGCTCGCCGAGCGCAAAATCCCAAGCAAATAAAAGGAAGACGTGAATTTGAATAATAGGACGGCGCATAAATAAGTGACAATGTTTAACCTTAAATGACCCCATTATACAAAGCCTCACTGCTAAGACCAGCTCCTGCCCCATCACCCCCTGCTGCTGACGGCATTGTCGGAAGGCAGCCAGGCAGATAACGGCGGCCCAGGGCATGACACAAAACACGGACCACGCGGGATTATTGTTTGCGTTGAAACACGCCACGCCGCACCCCCGCGGCCATCTACTCATTTGATTATTTATTCACACGCGTGCATGTGCGTACACGTGTATGTGTGCGCGAGTGTTGTTTTTTAAATGCCGCTTATAATACACTATATATATAAAAATATGAACACGTCCTGATATGTGCTCGTACATTGAAATTAATTACTTTCCATTAAGGCCATCCAACAAGGATAGTTTAATTAACACACACATACAAATTGTATAAATGTAGGAATGTATTTTCTTGCTGCAGGAAAAAAGTATTTATTTTTTATAAATTATATGCTGTTTTTTTTATTCGCTGCTGGATATGAAGCCCTCCTCATGGCATATTTTTAACTATACTTTACCACGCTGATCCAGCCAGAGTTCTCACTGGGGGCCCAGGACTGTATCGCGATTATTAGCCATGGCCGGGAATTGAACTCATGGTGCTCGATTTGGAGCGCAGTGCACCAACCAATGCTCGCCCCACATACAACAAAGAGTACACTTAAAATGAAATAAAGCAACACAAAATGTCTAAATAGCATTTAATTCACATTTAGTTGTAAAGGCAGCTGTATAATGACAAGTACACACACACACACAAAGTCCTTCACTCATTTGTTTCTACATTTGGGCCCCAAACCAGGGAACCCATAGCCCCGTGGTCTCCACAGCAGATGCCACTTGGCACCCATTAACACAACGGCCTCTTTCCCAGTTGCTAAGTAACCATACCGAACAACCATCCCACCCACTCGTTCCCCTGCAACACAGTTCTTTTTAGACGCAAAGATCCCCCCATGTAACCTTAACACACTGTTGGAGCAATTGCTGTTTGCGAGCACCTATTAGGGTCGACACGACACATGAAAGGGTGGGGGGGGGACCAAGACCACGCCTATCCACCTTTGCCTCCCCAGTACAAATGTTGACGCGCTGCACCAGGAACCTCTCCTGACACACACATAGTCACTTCATGATATCTAGCACCAAGCCTCACCTTCATCCATCCTCAACATGAATAAACTGCACATTCACCCAACCTCACCCTCACCATCCTCATCTTCCGGACATACAGTACCCTGGTGTCTACAAACTAAGTTGCCTCTGTGGTAGTAGTTACATTGGAGAAACCAAACGACATGTCTCGGACCGCATTTGTGAACACAAAGCAGACCTTAAACACGGTAGGACCAACACCTCGGCCGTGGCAGATCACTGTTATAATTCAGTAGGCTCACATGACATTGACTTTTCCAAGACAGAGGTTCTTTGTAAGCCATCTGGCTACCATAAGAGATTCGTTCATGAGGCTATCCACATATACAAACACAGAGACAATTTCAACCGAGAAGATGGATTCTGGCTTAGCAATCATTGGAAAGATTTGATTAACCATTTCAGGTCTTAATTGATTGTTCACGCTTACAGTGGCTTTCAGACAGCATACATTAATTTTTCGTCTCCCCCCTCCTTTTTTCATAACATAGATGACTCGTCCTTCTAAATAAACTGCCAAATCGCTGCGCGTGGCGCTGACGGTTTTTTTTATAAATAAATCGCCCAAAAATAAATAAATTAATGCGGACCGACACACCTGATGATGACCGTTTGTGTTATGGTCGAAACGTCGTGAGAATTTTTATTGTTTTATATATATTTTATTATTTTATTGTTTCCCTTCAACGTGACTTTACCGAAAGAGCTAAGAATACATCCTCACCCAGTCAACGTTCACCCACGTTCATAATAACCTCATGTCGACGTGCACGTGCCTAGCTCTCCTTGCCTCAACCTCGTCCACCTGGAAACTTCGTTAACCTCACCCCTCGGCGAACCTCACCCGGCCTAAAACCTCAAGACCTAATGAAGGCTCACTCGCTCAGCCTCACCGTAACCCTCACCACCGTAACCCTCACCACCGTAACCCTCACCACCCCAACACCCATATCACCACGAGCCGTAAAAAAAGAAAACCGTCACCTCATCGAGCCTCACCCTCGTTGCACCTTGAACCTTAATGAAACGCAACCTCACCCGGACAATCTCACCGACCCTCACACCCATGCTCACCCTTTAGTCACCCTCACCATGCTTCCTAGCAACGCCCACTCCACTCTGAGACCCAACACTTATCATGTTACTCCTCTGTGATCTGCTACAAGCTCCCCCCCACCGCCACTTCACACTCCACCTCCAGCTGAGCCTCATTCAGTGACACACTTCAAACACACACCCACTCAACACAGCCACAGCCCAGGCAATGACACATACACGGTGTGTTGTCACTGTATTGTGCAACAATAAAAAAACAATGGAGCAGATATATTGTTTTTATTTTGCACGGACAAATGTACGCGGCGTGTGCATGTCTATTTATTAGACGATTTGATTAATTGTCCGAATGCAGGTTTGTGATTTTATTCAGGAATAAATGTTGGTTGTGTAATTTGTTTTTACCATCTCTTTTGTTTTTTCAGTTATTTCCACTCCATCTAGCTTAGATACAATATTG